TTGCTGAAGTCAGGAGGTCCATCCAGTATTACTCCAGGCAACAGACAGTCAGACATGACTGAGAAAGAGCCCACTTCTGTTATGAATTTGTCCTCTGGGTCTGCGGATTAGGAGAGACAGAGGAGCCAGTATTGGATGGTTACTAGGCCATCACTCAAGTTTGACACAATGGCCCCTTTCTTCCCGTTGTAAGATGCTTTGAAAATGCTCCATCCTAACACTGGTGATTGAAGAAGGTGGTATCTGACAAAAATGTAGTAGAACGAGAAGACCCTGAAGGAAGTGAAATAGCGAAGAAAAGCTCACGACATAAGGGCCTTTGAACTAATTTGTCTATGGATTAAAATATCCACCCAGAAGGACAGAATGAATAGTGAAAATAGAAACAGTAAACTGAACAATAGGAAGTAAACTGTTCATTTCTGGAAGTAGGTTAACTTTTCCCAAAAGAAAGCAAATCTATTCATTTTCAAGAAAGATCAGATATAATATTAAAAATTACTTGATAGCATTTTCTTAATTTTTAGAACCCCAAATCCCTAAGGCAAGGTCTGCTTACTACTAGCTACTAAAATTATCATTAAATAACTCAAAGCTGTTATAATTAAGGTATATTCATATAAAAAGACAAAATAATATATATTTCCATGAGATCTTCATGCAGTGACCCACATTTAATAATAATAAATGAAATAAAAACAATATCCAGAAATTACTAAGGATGCCTCTAGAGTGATGTTATTTTGAAAGAAAGTAAAAAGAAAAGAAAAGAAAAGAAAATATCCAAATAGGAGTTTCATGTATTTCTGACCTAAGTTCACTAATTGAGAAAAATTGAGATTAATTTTATAGGTGTTCTTCTCCAGTACTCTGAAGTATTATCTGCAAGGTCACTCACCCTTGAAATAATTAATGCCTCCACTAAAAAGATATGAAAGGAATTTTTATAGAAGCGGTATTTTATTCTTATAACAAAAAATGTTAATATTCTTACAAAAGTAATCATGAAGCACTTCATATGTATAAAGAACTGCAAAATCCCATTTAGGCAGAAGCAATGTGATTTATGGGAGACTTAACAAGTAATAAACAAAAACCATCAAAGAATACAAGAAATAATAAAGAGCACTGAAATAACTGCATGCATTTTCAACTTCCAATATTAAAAATGTATCTCTAATGCCAGATAATGAAAGCCATTTCCCTCTTCTCCTTAGAGAGGGCAGAGTAGTTACTCTGTTGGTCAATTTAGCTCAATTGTTTTTCCTCGTCACAAGGAAAAGTGGTGGGGAGTAAAGGTATACTGGGAAATGATTGATGTTAAATAATAAAAGGAATAAAAATAAAACTTAGAAAAATATCTAATCTTTCAAAAGACATAATTCTTTGAAGTTAACAAAATACTTATCATGAAAATGAGTAGCTAGATTACCACACTTAAATTAACCTATAAAAAAGGGAATAATTCTGATTATTTACCTTTCCAACTAGACAGATTGTTTAAGCACACCATACATTCAATGAAAATATACAATAATAGACATTTAGAAATGAAAAACTAAATGGAAATAGTTTTGAAAAATAGAATGTTTAGAAAGGTAAAAAGTTAACATATATTTCCACAATTACACAAAGTTTCAGCTCGTAAGAAACTGAACAGTGTTCGAATAACATCCAATCCTATACATTGACTAAGCATTTGTAACTCTAATTAAAAATCCTATAAAGTATCCTCAGTATTATTTTGATACAATAGTTGTGCTTATAGGCTCTTTGGCAATAAGTTTTAAGAATGACAGAACAACAGCATAGTTTGGGAAGGTGTAGTCTACATTCTACTTTTCAATGTTTGAGACAGCAAACAATTTCCTGATTCATATAAAAATGGAGAATGCTTATAAAATTTAATCTGTTTCACCAAAATTTCAATGTTAACTTTTCAGAGAAGAAGAGGAGCAATAATATACTTAGCTATTAAGTGCCAGATAAGCTATTATAATCAGATTCAATTGTTACAGAGAAGTTCTTGAGGTACTGTTAATACTAAGATAATAAAGTTTTTTTACTTGCTATTATGTAGGCAGAAGGAGAGTACTAACGATCATTTCCATCAAGTATGAGATTTCTCATGGTTTTATCTATGGAAATGGAATGAACACATTCAGGGGAGGTGATATGAGAAAAATCCATTTCTATAAATACACCTCATCTATACTGCTACATTTTGCATAAAGTAGACCAAGCTTTTCTGCTAGATACAGGACATAAAAAAAGTAATTTGCTAAATCACCTAGCTCTTAAATAGAAAGCTTTTTGCACTTAAAAGATGACCTCTAAACTGGAAGTTTTTCTTTTACCAGTACCATTCTTCTTATTCCTTGGCTCTTAACATCAAAATACAAGTTTTGTAACAACTAAACCTCAAATCATATGGATCACCTATTGCAAGAAGTGTAGAAGAATACATTGGTCTCCTAAGATACATAAGCTACAAAAAGTAAAAGGCAATCCTTTAAATTGCATATAAAATACAAAAAGAAACAAAATAACACTATGACAGAGATATCTATTTCTTATTGTTGAAACATTTAGACAACTTGTACAAGATCTAAGAATTCTTGAAATAGACACCTCTGATAATGGAACCAGCCTCCCCTAATTGTGGTATCTAAGACTTAGTTCTCAGTCTAATGTAGCTTTCTCTTGCCACACTTTCTTGGAAGAGTCCATCCATTTTCAATACTTCAGTGTCCACTTTAACAATAATATTTCTCAAATCTATATTTTCAGCTTCATATTTCAAAGTTCCTTCTATGAAAGCTCTGTTTGGATATACCACCTGAAATATGTTTAAAATAGAAACTCCCTCCCCAAATTCCCCATTTCTGTCAACAATGTCAACAATTTCTGTCAACAACTTGGATTGAAAATCCCTAACCATAAATGTCCTTCATTTGTAATTTTTCCTCAAAAATTCTCTTAGCCACACACACTGGCCCTATGTCTAAGTTACAGCAATAACATCCCAGTTGGGTTACTTGGCTCCAGTCTCTCTCCTTTGTCAAGTCCATTCATAAAGATACAGATGGAAAGGGACTAACAGAGGTTATGTGCTCTAATCTAGTACTTAACATTTAAGGAAAATGAGGCCAAGAGAGATAAAGGGGCTTGTCAAAACTGACACAGCTAGTTAGTGGGGAACCACAACACAGTTCTCCTGACTCCCAGATTAGACATCTTCTTACCACACAAAGCTGTTTCCCTTCCCCCTCACTTTACCATCTCATACACTCATCTACAATAACTTTTCAATGCATTTCAAATGCAGCTCAAACTCCAGCCTGGAATTCTGATGATTACTGATCATAATAAAATGGCTAAACATCCTTCTAAAAAGGTAAAATACAAATATTCAGTTAACAAAAGATAAAACAAAAACAAATTTAAAACTGTACTTTTGTTTTAACCATCATAAAATCTAATATTCTAAATCTTGGTCCTAAATTTAATCTAACAGAAACTTGAAATGATGCCTCTTCTGTAACACATACATATGGACATTCAATTTTGAGGCCTCTGACAAGTTGCATCACAAGTCATAAGTGACCTAATTATGTGACCAGACTGAAGAGTCAGATCAGTCAGAACCGATGATAATGTGAAGAATCATGAATTGCTCTGTTGAAAATTCACACTCTACTACCTCCTAAATGCAAAGATCATGGTGAATAGGACTGCAATCATCATTTTTGCAATGAGTAATATAGCTTAAATTATATATTCCTTTGACAGTCTAACAACCTGACGTGGTCTTTCTGGGAAAAGAAGAAAGCATTAGAGAAAAAAATCTAAGTTTTTAGAAAAGGTAGTTTAGATTCATGTTAAAATGTAACAAAGTAATGCATTTTCTTGTTCCTCGGGCAGCACAGATGGTATTCTAATAACCTAAATAAGAGTTCTTTTTCTTCAACCTTTGTTTATTAGGACAGAGAAGATGAGAACAAGATTTGATTTGATTTGATTGATAAAGAAACTATCCATGCTATTTACTTATCAACTCTACACTTTTTTTTAGCTCCACCAAAAGAGACACAAATATTCAGTTATATATAATTCTCTGTGTAATGTATATTTTCCATTATGGATAGATATGGTGAGAAGTGAGCTAAAATGCTAAATGGATTCTGTTTGTTCAAGTGGTCTAGGTTATTGAATGTTTTGCAGCTCTTTGTGTAACTGGCTAAAAAACTTGGCCTTTATATAGCATTTGCGTCTATTATATTAAATATTCATTAAAATCCTGAGAGGCAGATATAGACATTGCTATTTTCATCCCAGGACTCACAGAAGTTGTGACTTGTACAAGTCACAAACCTGGAGAATGTTGGAGATAAAAACTAAATCCAAGCCTCTCCTGAGTCCAGTTTCTTCCCACTAAACCACACTGCTTCAACTAGTAATACAATGTTTATACTTGATGCTTAACAAATAGACCAAAGGTTCCACTGCTCTCTACATACATGAAGAAAGTACACTAGTTTCCTGGAATGTGAATGATTATATTATGCATTTCCATTGTGTAGACAAAGTTCTCTATGAAATAGGGTTGGACTTCTTCCAGTTCTAATAATATATGATCTTTTAAAAAAAAAGTCTCTGAATTATTCCAATAGATTCAATCCCCCACTAGACTTTCAAGCTCCCCGTTTACTACCAAGTTGAGTACTTTTCATGCATTTAGGACCCAGAAATTCATTTCATTATTCTTTCAAATAAGAGAACCAAGAAGGTAAAATCTACTAGGGAAAAAAAAAGATGCAAAATATTTCAAATCAAAATATAAATGATTTCTGAATCTGTTCCATCATTTCTCTTTATTAGATGGCTTAACTAACAATAAAGTGTATTTGTTTTCTTTAGTTATTGGTCCCCAGGCACCCTATAAAAAAAATGAATGCACTTAAGAGAAGGTCATTTTTCCGAGAAGTACCAGAACTTACCACATCACTAGCACTGGAGAACTCATTATTAACCAGACTTTCAAGAGCCATCCATCGAACTGGTCTATTTTCATTGTCCCCTAGACAGTGATAATCCATGGGGAATAAGTCTCTAGATAAGGCATTGTCAGTGATCTTTACCTGAAGAGTATCATCAATGCTGAAAACAAAAAAGGAGACAATAAAAAGATGAATCATGGTTATCATTTAAATATACCTTTGTAGTATATATCACAAATCCAGGGAATATTAATTATTAATTGATGATAATAACATAGTACTTACACACAGTTTCTAGCAGCCAGATCTTTGTGAATGACCTCTCTTCTTGCCAAATAGCTCATTCCACAGGCAATCTGAATAGCCATATGTACTAAGTCTTGCTGAGAAATTGCCTGTGATTCACAATGGTAATGTCAATAATCAAAATAAAATACCTACAACTTGTGCCATCCTCCCTTCATATTACTCCAGATATAAATATTTCTTTCCACCTACAGACTCATTTCTAGAAGCTAGACCTTGACTATAAAGTTCATTACACTAGGTAATGTATTTCAATTGTCAAAAATATTTAAAGAGATATCTTCTTCCAGTTTACAAACTGCATCAGAAATGAGTCAAATGATCACCTTGACCTTGAGGATAATGGGAGAGAAGATGGACAGCATTTACAACTCTCTAAGAAACGTACTGTTAAAATGTTTTCAAGGTGCTACAAGATCTCTCTATTAACAAAACTTCAGAGTTCTGCTGAATTCACTGCAGACTGTTATCAAAAACTAGCTCTTGCTGTGAATAGACCAAACAATTAACAGTTCATCTTAGAACAACACAAGTAGGGCTAAAAACAATATGTAGATAGATAGATGTACATATATCTGGATATATATGTGTATGTGTGTGTGTGTGTCTATAAATCCATAAATATGTATATAATTCCCTAAACATGTGTATAAATATGTATATAAATAAATCTAATTATATTACAGAAAGCTGTCCATCTACATACTGTTTTTATATGTACATAAATCTATGATATAGCTAAGTACATCTATCTATAATTTTTTTATAATCTATCATATAAACATTGTAATCTAACTTTCTAATACAATCTAAACTACGGTCATGAGCAATTATGTTTGTAATCTTGAGCAAAGAACTCTGAACTCTGTATCCTTATCTGTAACAAAGGGATAAAGGTAATATTTTCACAGAAATGTTATAAGAATTACTACCATTGTGTTAAAGGGTTTTAAACTACAATGAATAAATGCACTTTGGAAATAAATTTAGCAAAATCAGCAACAGTTTTTGGTGGGGAGGGTAAACATTCTGGTCAAGTCAGAGGAATCATAATTCATTTTCCTTTTTATTCATCCTGCCAGGTTTTTGTCTTCTATCCTATTGGTCTTCTTTCTTCAATGCTTTTGATTTTCCATTAATTTCTAAATATTTAAGTATTTTTTCACCTCTTCTAAGGATGTTAACATAAGTTATTCATAAATAAAAGACATTATTGGTATTTGGGCAAGTTTTTCTTACCTGAGGATTGTTGGCCTCTACTAATTTGCACTGTCGTAAGAACAATTTAAGGTTTCCCCAGTTCATATATGGCAATAACACCATAGGTTTTTCTCCTTCTTCTATACAAACATGAGTGATAGGAAGCAGATTTCTACAAAATGGACACAAAATAGGAAGGAGAAAAACAAGTAAAATCCAAAACCTCAGTTACCTATTTTAACAAATGGGATAAAAGTAACTAAGGCAAAAACAATCTGAAAAAAAAGTATAAACTATGAAACAAACATACAGTATTCAAAACAGGCTTTAAAATATGGAATTTAAGCCATTCCTTAAAATAAAACACCCCAGTTAAACAGAGTAGAATTTCTCCCTCATTATCTTGCAAATTAATTTTCTTGAACAACAGCCTGATGTAACTGGAAGAGAAATGAACTTGAGCCAGAAGACTTGGGGTTGAATACTTGCTACCTGCTACCTTATATGAGACATTTTTCTCCAAACCTGTTTCCTCATCTATAAAATGTGGAAACTCCCTCCATGTGTAGTACAGTTAAGCAATTTGTCCTTAACTTATAATCTTAAGAGAATTGAGTGGAGAACTGAAAGGTTAAGTAGTTTGCCTGCTCTTAGTCTCACAACCAGTATATCTCAGTCAGAACTTGAACCCAGATTTCCTGGATTCCAAAGTTGGCCCTCTACTCTCGAAGACACACTGCCTTTTAATGCTACCGTAAGAATTAAATTTTAAATGTGGATCAAAAGGTGCTATTTTAGAAATAGTTTTCTAAATCTAATTTGCCTGTTACCTGGAAATTAAAATGGGAAAGCCTGGCTGATAATAGATGTCTTTAAATAGATGTTTTACCATTTTTCTTTTTTCACGCAAAGAACAGAGTTTTAATTACAAATCACTAGTTGTTGGACAAAACTGACTTCCTTCAGACATTAAAGTTTTGATTCTCATACCAAACAATTTTGTAGCACACGGAACAGAATGGCACTGAAATCTTTGCTGCTACCTGATGGGCTCAATAGGTGGTCAAGGCATTATTTGGTCAACAACTATTAAGCATGCCTAATTCTAATTAACTCTTTCTCTGCCTCCAAACCAATCTTTGTCTGCTCATACATTACCAGGGCTCAGGGCAGGTAACAAGAGTAATAATCTTCATAAAGCACATCTTGTCACTAACTTGTTCAAAATTCTTCAATGGCTTACCCATTGAACATCAAATAAAGCCCAGACAATACATAGTATTCAAACAGACCCAACCTCTGTATCAAAATGCTTGCCATTTCAATGAGGGTGGGAGGGGAGGGAGGAAGGGAGAAAATTTGTAACCCAAAGTTTTAAAACACATGTTAAAAAACAAATAGACCCAACCTATCCTTCCAGTCTTATCAAAAATTTCTCTTCTATACCACAGCCAAGATGGACTACGCTCCCTGCTTCCCAACCACAATTAGCGTATCTCCATCTCTGTGTTTCTTGTGTTCTTCCCTCTACCTAGAATGCTTTCCCACTTACTCCACCCATTGAAATTTTACTGTATCCTCCAAAGACCAAACTAAATGTTATGTTCTCCACGAAACTTTCCTTTTCCTCACTCCAAAGTTACCATGATTTCTTAATTACCAAATTACATGGACTATTCTCAAGCCTTATCCTTCTTGACCTCTTTTTGACGCTGTTGACCATCCTCTCTTCTTGGATATTCTTTCCTGATTAGCTTTTTGTGACACTATTCTCTTTAACAGTTGTCTCCCCAATCAGTCTGCTCCTTCTACAGTTTCGTGGTCTTAAGCCTCATTCATCCCTTGCCCACTAACTGTGAGTATATTTTATGGCCTTAGGTCCTCTTCTCTCTGTACTTTTTCCTCAGTGAGACTCTTTTATCAGTTTCCAAGGACTTGATTATAATTTCTATACAGATAACTCCCAGATCAATAGATCTAGCTCTAGTCCCCTTTATTTTGGCTCCAGCCTCACATCAATTATCATTTGGACATTTTGAACTGGATGTCCTCAACATTTCTCAAATTCAACACGACCAAGTGAATATCTTTTTCTCTCAAAATTCATTCCTCTGTCAAACTTCCCTATTTCTTTTAAAGACATCACCATTCCCTCAAACATTCAATTATGAAACTTCAGTATCATTTTTGTCTCCTCCCTCTAATTTCATCCCATTGAGCCTATCATATCTTGTCATTTTTATGCCCATAACATCTCTCACATCCTTCTTCTCTCCACTCTCACTACTCTAGTTTCAAGCTCTCACCATCCCTTGCTTGGACTATCACAACAATCTCCTAATTGGTGTCTCTCCCTCAAGACTCTTACCATTTTAATCCATCCTTCATGTCCTATAGTGAAGGTAGGACCATACCACTCTCCCATCAAAACTCTTGAGGTTCCCTATTCCCTTCAGGACCAAATATGAACTCTGGCATTTAAACCTGGCTCCAAACCATCTTTCCTGTTGTATTATATATTCCCCATCTTCACAAAACCCACAATCCAGCCAAACAAGGTAATTTTTGCTGCTAAAGAACAGAAATAAGAAACCATAAAAAGCTTGGAGTGGTGATAAGAAATTCAGCCAACTATACAAAAGTGCTTTGGCACAAACCACATCAAATGACATGCTGCTGATAGGATGTTTTCTTGTAATTAAAAAAACATGCCTTTAAGGTAAAATGTCATATATGTACTACTAACTGGGCATCATTTAACACAAAGTACGTTACTGGTCAGGAGTAAACTTTACCTACGTACAGAAGAAGCTAATAGGAATTTAAGACTATTATCCCTTGGAAATGGGGGTATGCACTTAGAAAGCATTAAAGTAGATGTTAACCTAGAGGAGTAAAAATAGCTCTCAAAATTTTATGCATTGGAATCATTTTTATCTTTTACATAAGTAACCAAAAGATGCAAATATATTATATGCAGCACTTTTAATGCAAGGAAAGCTTTTTTGCATTTAGTATCTCTGTCTTCATTAAGGAAGAATGAAACTGTTGAGATTAGAAAAACAGTAGCATTACCAAGAAACAATAAAAGTGAAATGATTGCTTTGAGAGGGGCAATGACTTATAGCAGGAGGTGCATTGGAATGGGACTGAAGTAGTTTAGGCTTCTCTCAAAGCTGTTACCAAGCTTTGAGAGAAATCTTTGAGAAAACTCTTTACATAATTGTTCAATAATGGTTTCATTTTTTTAATCTGTAAAAAAAGTATACTAATTAGTTTCAATTGAAAGTAAATCAGAAGTCTACTGAAAGTTCTGTATGCACTCTCTAGATATACACATACATGACAGACAGACAGCAGCTAGCTAGATAAGAATTTTCTCCAATTATCTTTGCCCCTAAGTCCACATATCCTTCAACCTTTCCTACTTCTGTTGAGGGAGTCACCAATCTTCTAGCCACACAGCTTCATAACCTCCTCATCCCTATATCCAATCAGTTTCCATGTCTTATCAATTATAGCTCCCACCTCTCATGTCCCTCTTCTTTTCATTCACATGACCACCTTCCTAGTTCAGAACCTCATCACTTCTCTTCTGGACCACTTCAATATCCTCTTGAAGGATCTCCTTGATTCCTATTTCTCTATTCTCCAATATGCAGATCTGACAAAATAATCTTCCTAAAGCAGAGGATCTGACCTTGGTACTCCCCTGGTCAAGAAGCTTCAGTGGCTCCCTGTGGCAGTTAAGATAAATACAAAATCCTCAGCCAAGCACTAAAAGCTGTAGCGGATGAAAGATGGAATGACTGAGGAAACAAAGGTTCAAGCATATTATTTTATTAAGCAATGCATGCTGACTGTATAAGAAATTGGGACCAGACCTTCTCAACTTAAAGTTGGACCCCAAACACTGCGAGAGACAAATCTGTATTAAAAACAATTAATCAAGACCAATTAATTAAAAGAAAACAATTAACTAGTACATAAAATTAGGTAATCTGATTTCTAATTGGAGGAAAGATTAGGGACTTTCCAAGCTGGAAAAGGGAAAGCAAACGTGTAATTTCTTGAAATCATAAAGAGGTGTCCACTCCCCCTTCTATCCCCCATCCCCAAGTATCTGTAGTCAATCAAAGGAACATGGAAATAATAACTGATTTACCAGTACGAGGCCAGCAACCCAGACATATGGGTTGTATAATTGTAAGAGAACTCTTTGTATCAACCTTTGGATCTGACAGGGTTTCTGGTCAGCATAACTTAGGTCTTTATTTAATGGTCTCTAAGCAGCAGGTAGAGGTGGTCTGGCTTCCCAGACACCCAGGGCTACGTTCAAAACAATTCAGTAAAGTTTTCTCACAATTCCCATAACTGAATAAAGTTTCCTCACAAGACAGAAATTGGACTAGACTCATAACTAAATAGAAAGGGAACTGAGAGCTAGCTCTAGAACTAAGTCACAAGATGGAGTCAGTGTTGTTCACTCAATTCCCACTACCACTTGCTGTTCTAATCCTCTCAATTCCCACAAAACCATGCATAATCTTTCTAGACTTTAACTACTTGCATTTTCCATTTCAGTCAAATCAGCAAACTTACAATGTCTTGCACAGACACTCCTGTGTCTATAATACAATTCTTATTCACCACTACCTCTTAGAATCTCTAGCTCCTGTGCCACCCACTATGGGAACCTTTCCAAATTCCTTTTGTCTCATATTTCTGTTGCAGAGCATAATGCCTAGTTTATAGAAGATACTTAAGAAATGCTTACTAAACTGAATTGGAGTACAGAGTATTATTGGCACTGGGAAAACAGAGAAATATAGATTAAATAACATACGCTCAGTTTTAGCCTCAATTTTTTCCCATCTGTAATTGTTTTAGCTGATGTTACATATTGTTTCTTACTGAAAGCAACAGTGAATTTTTCCCCTACTATGGGTAACATATACTGAAAGCATCCCTCAAACAACCAATCTATCTATCAATCAAATTAGGAAGAAGACAGTCTTATAATCTATAAAAATCTGCATGCACATTGCAGAAATCTGAGTTGGTTATTTTATTAAAGCCTTCTGGTCTCTTTACCTTTTCATTTATATATATTCTAGTACATATTTACTATAGTTTTTGACATATCCATCAATAGCATGTCTAATTATGTTAACAAAGGTCATAAAGTGATTGAGTAATATAATCAAAACATTAGACATATGGAATGGAACCAATTATTAGATATACATCAGCGAGAAATGGGGGGGGTTCTATAAGGAAAAAATAAAAGATATTTTCTTTATTGAAAAGAACAAGGGAGCTTTATAGACTATCAGTACTCAGTTACTTATTAGCTTACATTTGATAATACAGATGAATGAAAAGCTTGAGAGGCAGAGTTTCTGGGTAATTAATAATCAACTCATTAATTAGGCTAGTTGATAACCAATAAATTGATGGGCAAGATCCCTAATAGAGATACTGAATGCCTTAATATAATTTTATAAAAGGGGAATGCCCCTGATAGATGAAAATCAACCCTGATTGGTGAACAATTAATGAAGGAGTGGGCACAGTAAAGAGGAGGTGAGCTAAAAGTCTTCAGCTGTGATGTATGTGCTATTATTGTCCTCATTTTACAGATGACGAAACTGAGGCTGAGAGAAGTTAAGTGACTGTAAGACCAACATATTATCCAGTGCAAAAAATCACAATAAGTTATTAGCAAAATCACAGGATCTGTAGTTCAGGCTTTCTTAGCTCATACAGGCTCATAACAGGCTCTCTTAACAAGTCAGTAAGTCAGTAGCTAAGCCTAGATTAGAATATTTTCTTTTCAATGCTGAACATCACCTCTACAAAGCTAACCAATAACATACTCATTCTCTATTTGTTGTTATTGGTTTGGGTTTGTTTTTTGATTTTTTGTTTGTTTCGGTTTTCTTTTTTTTTTTTGGAAACTAGGATATTAATTAGCTTTGGTGCGCCCATTATTTTCTATTCTCTTTAGCAGAAATCCACAAACATTCTTTAGTGTTCCCAGAAGGATAGTCACATTTTCATTACACTTTTTTTTGGTTTGCAAATTTTCCACCAATTTGACAAAGACGTGTTCAACATACCTGAATATATCACAGACTCATAGTTATACAGTTGAAAGGGACCTCATGGATCTAGTCCAACCCTTTCTTTTTACAGAGGAGGCAAGTGAGCACAGCGAGGAGAAGTGATTTACCCATAGTCACTCAAGGGTGGGAGTCAAAAACAGGTCTCCTTATTCTAAATTCAGTACTGTTTCCACTACACTGGCTACTATCTCTAATTTTATATATCCCTGACTTATTATAATGCAGCATTCCCTGACAAAGAAGATCTACACTCCAGGTCCTTCATATTAAAGTATAAAAAGATAATTTTAAAATAACAATAACTTAGTTTAAGGTTTACAAAACATATTTCTCATAACAATTCTATAAGGTAAATAGTATTATTCCCATTTTACAGATGGATAAGAGAAGTAAAGCAGCTCATCCAATCACAACAGGATTCAAACCCAGGCCTTGGATTCTGAATTAAACATTTCTTTGTATTATGTCATAATGATTCTCTAGCCACATTTTTAAAATTGATTTTTTTTGTTTTAATATTTTCAAGGTTATATGATGTCCCTTAAAAATTTGGTATCTGCTAAAAACAAATCACATGAAAAGGAATTTCTTCTCACCTGTGGTGAAGACCTCGGAGCTTACAGCTTTCAGTGAGCATCATTGTCACTTGAATTTCAGAAGCTTGGTCTAGAAAAAGAAAACATTTTTGAACAATAGTGCTAGATACATAATTCAAATCCATTACTGTAATTTTCTTTGAAAATTAAAAAATGTATAAATGATTCAATTCAAAAATCAAATTTCAATAAACTTTAAAGGAGATAATTAAAAAAAGTTTTACTTAAAACCCTATGACAATAATCAAGACATGTTTAAACACTGAGATAATCACTAAATAAACTCATTCCACTAACTTTTATTTTATTTTTTGCTTCTGAGTTCACAGTCTCAGGTGCAAAATAACCAAAATAACTTGGGAGCACAATGCACCTAATTTTAGTAGAACCTCTAAGCTATTTATAGGTATTACTGAATGGAACAGATGAATTTCAGTAGTTTTGAAAAGAAAATTTCTGCCAAGTAAATTTTGTCTTTTTGTTAACTTCCATTACAAAATTAAAAGATACAATCCAATTAAAAACTATTGGTCCATTGATACACATTCAACACACACACACACACACACACACACACACACACACACACAAACTCATTAACATCACATCTACAAAAAGGATAACTCAAAAATAATTATGTTCAAAATACCCTCATCTGTAAAACTGGGATAACGATAGTACCTACCTCTCAGAGTTGTTGTGAGGATAAAATAATATTAAAGCGTTTTTCTACTATTACTACTACTACTACTACTACTACTACTACTAAATGAGAAGCAGCAAGGCAGAAGATAAAGGGCTGGTCCAAGAGTTACTAAGACATGAGTTCAAGTCCTGCTTCTGTTGACATAAACTAGCTATGTCGCCACAGTTCCAGACATTTAACCTCTCAGAACCTCAGACAAGTCTCTTAAGACTCAAAGTAAAAGACAGTTAAGATCAGACACAGAGACTTTCACAATGGAAACTCCTCTCAATATCTGTTGGTATATATGGTTTTTTCTTAAGGTGCTAATATATGATAACAAAATTTGCTGTGACTTTACTGACTATTCTGTTCTCTGCTTAATAACATAGGGTCAAAGAATTGTAGATCCGGAACAGAACCCACAAATTATACATTCCAACTTCCACTTTACAGATGGGGTCATTGAAGAGGGACAGGTTGGACTTAAATCCATCTTATACCATTATGCCTGCCTCTTTTCAACTGATGACTCGATTTCTCTGATGGCCATATCCTCATTTAGAGTTGTTACATTTTAGTAAATGTGGTGAGTGAGAATAGTTGTTGCACACTGAATGAGAGAGTTTAGCTAGAATACGATGATTTTCTTGGCACTCTAGAGGGTAGCAGCAACAGGTAAAAGACAAGGCACAAGATGACAACAGAAAGAATCCCAAACCTGAAGGTTAGGAGTAGGTTATTCTAAACAACAAAGAAAAATTAAGTAATATCTGAAGCTCTATTCAGTGAATTTCTGTTAAGAAATTATACTTGGATTTAAAGGAAATAAAAGAGAGCAAAAGCAAAAGGGTGGATGAAGTGGTTGTTGTAGTTTTTCCAAAACTCTGAGAAATATTTTTACCTTTTTACTAATGAAAATGTTCCTCTTTAAATACTGTAATGAGCAAAACTAAAAAAAACAAAAACAAAAAAACAACTTTAGCTTCTAATTTATTAAGCGTATATCTGCTTATGGCATATTCCTGGAGTAAAGGAGGGTGCAAAGAGAATTAAAGTAATGATCTTACTTATAAAATGTCAGACAGAGCTGGAAGAAACCTCAGAGATCAGAAAAGTAAGGCCCAGGGAAGCTGAATGACTTGTCCAGGCATACTCAAGTAGCCAGGAGCGGGACTAGAATAAAGATCTTCTAACACCCAAGGCAATATGTATCTACAAAGCGGAGTAATAAGACTAGGCGAGTCTTAATCCAACGGTTCTCAACCTTTCTTTGCTCATGGAAGAGCAAACTGGGCAAATAAAGTACTCTTTGCTGTAAGGAGGAATGGTACATTGAATGCTAAGTTGGCAACACTGGAACAGAATCAAGAGACTCCCACAGGTGCAGTGCCCTTTGCCAAGAGCAGCTATTTTCACTGAGTTCTTTGCTAGTTCAAGGATTTTGAGGTTACAACATATGTGTAAAAGGCAAATTTTATTTATTTTGTGAATACTATACTTACCATTCTATGTATGCTGGATAAGTAAAATTTATATTTATGTTAAATAAAAATTAGTTATGATTTTTTTCTTTCATCTGCAATAACACCCCAACTTTGTAGCACACATGCTGCATGTACCACAATATCTGAGAAATCTGGTCCTAATCTCAACAAATTTATATTTTAATTGCATTGACACAAGTAAAATTATGAATTTATGAATAAATTTATGAATAAAATTATGAAAAGCCAAATTCCAATCCTGCTAATCCAAAAAGCCAAAATAAGACAGTTTCTTCTGAAATATTTTTTTCTGAAGTATAAGGCATGGCTAAAGACCATATATAGACAACACATGTGATTTCAAGGCAAAGACTCCCTTGTCAGCTCTACAAAGACTGATTCAAAAAGGGCTATTTAGAAAAGATAAAATCTCAGTACCACTTAACTGGGTGACATCATATCTTTAATAACTTTAAGGAGAGTACACTGCAGTTTGATCAATGCTCTTCTTCGTCTACTACAAAAATGACAACAACATTGTAGCTAAGGACTCACTGTGCTTTCTCTTATTTCCTTCCAGTTAAGGAGGAACATCGTAATTTATAGGAGTGAGCCACAAAAAAGGAATAAATGACTACTTTTCAAATACTCACGGAAATACAAATCTTATCTTAAGAAACAGTCCTAGTATCCACATTGTATTTTCTTATCAATATTATTTCCTTTTTCTTCCCTCTCCCTAGCTACTTCTGTAGGGAAATAAACTAAAATCAAAACCCATTCAGAACAAGCCAAGTGGCAGCAGACATTTTTTAGAGAATGTCTACAAGTACCAAATGAAATGAGAAACTTTCTTTGAAAGTTGTCTGAAATAAAATCATTGTCTCAAAGACTTATAAAATGACAGACGTGAAAGGAATCTTAGAAATAATTACATTTTAAAGTTACTTACAGAAGCATACACTGCTAGCCAGTAGCAGGGTTGAGATTAGAATTTAGGTCTCCTAACTTGCATTACAGCATACTTTCTGCTATACTGCAGTGTTGTATTTTTGCCAAAAAAAATCCCAACATAAATAGAATTATACATGAGCTGTGGGTGTAGAGGCGAAGGATCTAGGTTGGATTGCTGCTTTTCTACTTACTAGCTGTAATTGACCAGGTACAATAATTGGGCATAAATGTTAAGCAGTTCCTGTAATGATTATAGTTAGTATTACTTTTAAGTGAAAGGTTGACTGGGGGCTGGGGATGAGAGGTGATAACTATAGTGCATAAGCTGTTTTAGGATATCCCTAAAGAGCACTGAAATCAGTGTCTTCCTTCTCCAAAGAGAATGGTTCAAGTCTAACAAGTAGAAAGCTACTACTATCACTTCACTCAGTAGGGGGTCAGCCCCTTCCTTAGTTCAAAAGTTCACAGAAAGCAGAGCTGGAAGGGCTATCACTCATTCACTAGCTTGTATAAGAAGGGGATCGATAACCTCCAGCAGGAAAAGAGGAGGGTAGGAGATGAGCAAGGGCTTTGTAGAGAAGGTGGTGCTGGAGCTGTGTTTTCTCCAGGACCCAGCTGGAGTCCAGTCCTCATCACCTCACACTTGCACTACTCTAATGGCCTTCTAATTAGGCTCCCCACCTCAAGTCTCTTCCCACTGCAACTCAGCCCTCTACTCAGCTGCGAAAATGATTCTCCTAAAGCTCAAGTTTGACCACATTATCACCACCACCACCACTAAGTTTTACAGCAGTTGTTTATTTGTACTAGTAGAAAGTGATCTCTACATTAATGAAATCATAGGTGTGTACACACATACACACACACATACACACACACACACACACACACACACACTCTCACTCATATACATACTTTATACCTGCATTGGTAGAGGAAGTTTCCTAACCAGGAAATTCCTTATACAAGTGAAATCATACGTATGATCCCTATTACTATCCTATGTATGTGTATGTCAGCAACTTCTCTGTAAATTACAATCTTAGAGAGTTGATCAGAGCAGTGAGAGATTAAGGGCCTTGCTCAACAACTCCCCAGTCATGTGGGTCAGAGGTCAGACTTAGACCCTAGTGTTCCTGACTCCAAAACCAGCTCTTTCCCTACTATGCTACATTGCTTCTCTGCTGCATGTGTGACAAGCAAGGTGTGAGCCCCAAAATAGGATAAGTAACTGTCACTACACCAGAGAAATTTATAATCTAGGCAAAAAAAAGATACAGATATTACTACATCACTACACAATAAACCGCTAATTATACAAAACAGTAAATACACATGAAACAGTTCACAACAGAAAGAACTCATTGTGGTATGGAGTTATCACAGGAGATTTCAAATAAAGAAGGGACTTACGATGGACTTTGAGAAATAAATAGAACATGGTTAGTTGGGGAAAAAAGGAAAATAGCATTCCAAAAATGAAAGTAACAGAAGGAATGGCAGCAAACTGGGACATTTAGTTTTGTTAATCTTGAAGAATAACCTCAAAGAGAATGATCTCACAAGCACATGATTCATGATTGGGAACATTGGGAAATTAATTAAAATAGATCAGATGAAACCACATTATAGAGGACCTAAAACACTAGGAAAAAGTTTGGTCTTGAGTCTCTAGGCAATGGGGAACCAATGAAGAGCCATGAAAAAAGTAGCAACAAGATGAAAGCCCCATTTCACAGATGAAGAAGCTGAAACTCAGCGAGCTTTAGTGATTTTTTTTTGTTTTCATATAGATTCTTTTTTTAAATTTATTTTGAATTATCAACAATCACTTCCATAAGCTTTTGAGTTTTAAATTTTTCTCCCCCTCCATTCCCAAGACGGCGAGCAATATGATATAGGCTATACATATATATTCCTATTAAACATATTTTCACATTAGTGATGTTGTAAGAATTAGAACTAATAGGAGGAACCACCAGAAAGAGGAAACAAAACACAACAGAAGAGAAAAAATAGCAAATAGTATGCTTCGATCTGCATTCAAATTCCATAGTTTTTTCTTTGGACGTGGACAGCATTTTCCGCAATGAGGCCTTTGGAGATGTCTTAGATCCTTGTATTGCTGAGAAGGGCTAAGTCTATCAATATTAGTCCTTGCACAACGTTCTCCTGGTTCTGTTCCCTTCACTCAGCATCAGACCATACAAGTGTTTCCAGGTTTTTCTGAAGTCAGCCTGTTCATTATTTTTTATAGCACAATAGTATTCCATTACATTCATATACCACAACTTGCTCAGTCATTCCCCAATTGATAGGCATCAGCTTTAGTGATTTACCTAAGACCAGTTATTAAGTAAGAAGTGAATTCAAGCCCTTGACTAACTAAAAGTCCAGTAGTCTCTTCATCACATCACATTTTCTCCTAAAGACAAATCCCTAAAATGTTCAATTATTTCTTTAAATTATATTTAGGGATATAAGCACTAGCAAAATTTATTTCACAAACAATTAAATGTGATTAATCCACAAAACTGGCCATATATGCACAGTAAAAATTGCTGAGTATTTGTTCCAAAACAAGAATGTCCTGAAGAAGCCAAACAACAAATACGGAGCACAGTGAAAAACAGCATATATTTCTATTCCATTCCAAAATTGGCCAAGAGAAACATTAATTAAAAATTATTTAACTATTCTATAAATAAGGTTTAAAAAATAACAAATGAAAATAAAATTCTAAAATTTAAAGAGTCATCATAATTTTGCTAGTTTTGGTGACGAAGTCACATGTAAATAAAATTGTGCTAAAATCTCGATTTTTTTTTCAGATGAACAAAATCTATCAACTAGTAAGTAGAAAAGAAAAATCTGGAATCATATATCAAAATATGGTGCAAAAAGATCTTAACTAAAGAAAAATGTCATCAAAGTTAACTTGTTATTCACAACTTAGCTTGTATTTATTTGGAATAGGATAAAATAGTTACTTTGGGATCTAATAACTAAGGATAGAATTTCAGCTTCAGAGATAGTTACCAACTGCCACAAAACTGGATCATATAACAATGGACTTAATTTGTGCAAAATTTAGTTTGTCACTGGCAAAATGATCCATAATGGATTTTAAACATTTTTGTATGTCAGTCCATTTTCTCACTTTCTATTTCTAAAAAGAATGATCTAATATCTGAAAGAACTGAATCTCCTCATGGTCTATGGTTAAGAATGCCAAAGATCTTTATACAAGTTAACTACGTGAGTGAACCACCTGTCTAAGTCATCTAATGATGCTTATATTTTCCCTAAGTAAGGAATATTGTTAGTACACTGTGAAAAATCCTACCTTTAACAGTTTTCACGAACGCTTGTTTTTCTTTGTTGGGATCTTTATCGTCTATTAAAATTCCATGGAAAATACGCCCAAAGGTTCCTAAAAGGAAGAATATTTGTGATGACATAATATGGCAAGTGAAAAAAAACTGTCAATTTAAAAACCTTCTGATACAGTGGTAACTTTAAAACATATAGAAAAGTAGTTCTACAGGAAGTTAAACAGATTTTCCAGTTAAAATTTGATGATTTGTGCTGAGTATTCTAATAAAGGGGTTATGCTGACAGTAGACAAACGATGAAATGATCAGTTAGTCAAAATTTATTAAGCACCTACTATGTGCTAATAAGCACTGAAGATAAAAGAAAAAATATCCCTGATCTCACAGTGTAATGAGGAAGACAACACATAAACAGTTATGTGCTAAAAAGACAGGTAGAGGATAAAATGGAGATAATCTCAGAAGGAAGGCACTAAGATAAAGAAGGACCACTGGGAAAGGCTTTTTGCAGAAGGTAGGACTTTAGCTAAGACTTTAAGGAAGCCAAAGAAAGAAGAAGGTGAAGATGAGGAGAGAGAGAGTTCCAAGCATGAGGGAAAGTCAGTGAAAATAAGCAGTTCAGAAGTGTTGCACGCAAAGAGACCACTGTCATAGGATTGCAGATGGAAGTAAGGTGCAAGAAGACTGCAAAGGTAGAAAAGGACCTTGTAACCTTTTTAGGGTTACAAATAACTTTAAAATCCAAAGGGTTTTATATTTGATTATGGAACTCATAGGTAGCCAAAGGCCTTAACTTAGACTTGTGCTTAAGATCACTTTGACAGCTGAGTAGAGAATGGACTAGAGCAGAAGACAATGCTTTGTTAATTTTAACTTCTAAGTTAAATGGATGTTGGAGAGGAGAAGGGTGAGATTGTTGAATTATCCCTTATCTAAAATAATAAATTTCTGATACAGCTACAATTTAATGCTCTCAAAAATGCTAAATCTAGACTCTGAAAAAGCTGGTCTTCAGAAAAGGCACTCTTCAACCTAGAATTTGTGATTTCTGGGCTTAATCTGGAATTACTATGAAAAGTGCACTGACTGCACTGGTGCTTGTCTCCCTCCTCTGGAAGCTGGAGAGAACTGATTCCTCATTTTCTCTTGTCCTGTTCCCCATCTTTCAATATCAATCCCCCATCCATCGTAGCCCAGCCTGAGCTTGACCCTTCAGGCCAGGGCAACTAGTAAAGGTAACTCCCTAGATTCTGGCCCCATTTCCTCATCATTTAATTCTGAAAACCAAGAAGAAAACCTCAATGCAATAAAGGGAAGTAGTGGACAATCTTCCCCTTCTCTATCTGATCAACACACCTGAGTTTGAATCCTGCTTCAGACACTTACTAGCTATATGGCCATAAGCAAGTCACTTAACCAACTTGTTTCTCTCATCAGTAAAATATAGATAATAGTACCTATACCTCACATGACTGTTATAAGGATTACATGATATAATACATATAAAGCAATTTGAAAAGATAAAGCACTATATGCTATTATTATTCAATATGTCCCTTAATCAAAAAACTGGTTACCAGGACTCTATTCTTCAATTAATAGCCTCTTTTGACAGAAAACAGAGAACAGACTTGTTACAGAAACTGAGAGCAGCTTAAGTCCCTAGGTAAGCAATAGCTTTACAAGCTGAGACCCCAAATTGATAGGAAAAAACAAAACCCAAAACTTACCAGAGTCCACCCTTCATTTCCAATTAGTTCATGAATTTACAAGTTAAAACCTAACTCCTGGCCTAATGACTACACAACAGAAAGAAAACAAGCCTTCCTGAAGCACTCTTTGATTTTTTAAGTTCCTTCTGTGAGATTTTCAACATTCTCTTCTCCAACACAATGGAAAAATTACTTCGAGAAGGTAATTAAAGAACAAGATAATTTAACTATCCCAAACTATATATTATGTGATCTTAAGAGACGCAAAAAAAAAAAGTACAAGCAACACTTTTGAAGGAAAAAAGTTTTTGTCTTGTATGATATAAAGATTGAAGCCATTTCTTCTATGCTTACCCTAACACTGATATGAAAATATTAAATATTTAATGACTAAGATATTTAAATACCATTTTAGAATATTAGCATATTTAAAATACATAACTTAAAAACTGATTTTGAGAGGATACATACCTTCTTGGAGAACATCTTTTAGTGTTATTCTCTCCCTGGAAATTGCTATATCTTTGACCTTTGCTTTGGCCTCCATAAGAGTGACACTTTTTAGGTCATTCTTCTCTATCCGTAATGTAGGATAACCTGAGGAGCCAACAAAGCCAAACAAAACTAATATAAATACCCTTATAACAAGAATTAGAGACCATCATTTTCCATAATTACCTACATAAAATAGTTAATACTCAAAGAACAGATGTAGGAACAATAAAAGGAAAAAAGGTTAAGACTCCTTCTCCCGAAAACAAACTGGAGACTCTAGGCAAAGAATCCTTCCCCCACATCCATCATGCAGTAATCAGATGTAGACAGCAATACATTATTAAAATTAGTGCTATTCTAATTGTATATACATGTGTGTTGTTACAAGCAAAGCAATAGCTGGTTCACAGATTATCAACTGTGTTACCTCAAAACCATAGGGAAAATGATGACCTCCTCTGGACAATTTTTGCAAATTTGAAAAATAGCCCCTATAAGAAATTATCTAATTCTTCCCTAAAGGGAGGATTTTATTACAATATGTCTTTTCTAACAAGATATGTGACCATTTAAATATTTTAATCTTCTAACTTCATGCCAAGCCGGGGTGTTTAAATTAGTTTTAACATCCCCTCATTTTTACCAGCAAGAAAATGAAGTTAAATTTATAAAAGTTGAGTAAAATTATTCACTCAGAGAAACAATGTTGCTAAGCAGACTGAAAGCAAGAAGGAGATGGAGAAGGAGAAGAGTAAGAATGATATTCTTTGGTACTTTGGAAATTGGGAAACAAGAAGGAAGGCAGAAGGACTAAGAATACAGTTTCCCAAAAGTTACAAAATAAGGAGGAATAATTACTGGTTAGCAATTTAATAGATGACGTGCTAATTTACCTATATCATAGGATTGCTGTAAGAAAAGCTTAAGTTCTATACAAGTGCTGTGATTATTATGATTAATCTTTCTCAAATCACCACCTAATAAAGAACAAAAGCAGTTTTTGAGGGGCAGTCTTTAAAGATAACTGTCCTCACTAAATGCACATCTCTGTCTTTTAGAAATGTTTTGTTATGAACTTAAGCACTAAAAAAAATTAGCATTTCCATAAACAAAGCAGAACATAAATGAAGACTGAATATGACACCATGAATTTCCATTTCATATTGAATATGCCACTTAGGGAATTAGGTAAAACAAAGGGCAGTCAGATCTGTAAGATATTAGCAATATGGCAGTAGTTGTTCCAATATACTTTGGGAGTAACATGCTTGAGATCAATTACTAGCTCAGAGATTCAGTTACCATATAACCAAACACCTTTCTTAGGAAATCTGTCAAATGACAACATAAAGGTATTTTAAAATATTATTGTGGGATTTGGTTGAAGAGCACAATGACATTATTGAAAAACACTACTGGTCAGGACATTATGTGAGGTGTAAATGAACTGCATTTGATGATACTTTAATCAAAATCCAAAATTTCTTGCTTTTAGAAAGCATACTGAATTTATTTTTCCTTAAATAATTAGCAAATTCATAATTCCTTTATTTGAATGGGAAAATAATCCAGGTGCATTTGCAGAAGGTTGAATCTTTAGAAATTCCCCCAAACTAAAAAACAATTAAAGTGAGTCTACTTAATATATTTAAATTTACCAATTTTTAAAAAGTTACAATTTCTACTGATCTAAGAACTGGAAGTCAAATCTTGAACATCAACCCTAAGTTCCACATATGCATGTGACACTAACCACTTAGGATCACGAGTAGCCTAAAAATCAAGACTAAAGTAAACTGGTTTTGGATTTAAATTAACTCTTACTGGTAACAGGTGTTGCATTGTTAGGAGTATCAGCTCTCAGGTACTGAGTTGTCTGCGTAGATGGCTGAGATAAACCTTGTGAACTACTGCTGTCACTGATGCTGAAAATAATTTGAGATAGAAAGTGAACTCATGAGGAATTTTTATTTCTTTTTTATTTATAATATATGTGTGTGTGTTTATATATACATACACACAAATACATATACATTTACTTATACATACATATACACATTCCTAGGTTTTCTTGACTCCAAGGACATTTCTTTATCCACTATACTATGACTGCCTCTTGCACCTATTGTTACATGTAACAAGATACTAAAAGCTACATGTGGATGAGCAGTTATGATAATAAAATTATTCTAAAAATCTTGAGAGATCATAATAATGGCTATTTCTCCATAATGACATGTTTCAAGCTGAAATCAGAATCTGTTGAGATTGTATACTTTTTCTTTTCTGATAGATGGCCATTATTAGAACAAAATGTTAGGGTAAGAAATTAATAATGATTAGAATGATTATCTCTAGGAAAATTAAAACTATGCCACTTTTACGAGATTACTTTTAATAAGGAGTATATCAAGTTAAACGTGTAAAAGAGGGAAAAAAAAGACAGCCTTAAAGCACAGTGGATTGTGGATACTGCAAAACAGCTAAGCAATGAATACATAAAATACACCTATATTCTATACACTTATAGAACGTACAGTAGACTGCATCAACTCTGCCTCATGATCCTCCAATTTCTAAAATGGATAAAATTTGGGTTTCTTGAAACATGTGCTTGGGAGGGCAGCCTATAATATTTGTTATATTATATTATATTATTATATTATAATAGTCTCTTCTTCTATTGGCAATATAAGAATCATACAAAAGAAAGAGACTCCATGTTTAACTCATGTTCAATATTTCTGTAATAAAGCAGTTTTTAAATTTGTATCCCTATGGGCCACTTGAGTGGATCACACAATCACCCTTACTATGGGGGAAATACTCTCTGAAGTATTGCTCTTTAACCTGCTATATTCTCTTAGTCATTTTGTAGTGTAGAGAGGAAAGAAAGGGATGAGGAATTAAGGATTATGTAGTAGATCAAAGTATTCTTATCACTTGCTTCTTTCCTTCCTATGGTAGTATCCTTCACCTTGCTCCGGAGCTAAAAGAAAGTTCATAAACTACTGAAAAAACCTCTAACTGAACCTGTTTTTTGTCTCTCCCTCTCTCCAACCCATTCGTTCTGTAACTGCCACATATATCTTGCTCAAACCTTATGTGGCTCTCTATTGTCTAGTCATTAAAGAACAAATATCTTTACCGGCCAGTAAATATACTCCTCAATCTGCCTCCAATTGACTCCCTATTTCCATCTACTTCCTAAATATATCACTAGCCAAACTTAATTACATCACTTTATTCCTTGAATACATCTTGTACTTAACCGCTTCTGCTCTTTGGTCTGTCCACCTGTCAAAATGCTATTATCCTTTAAAATCTAACACAAATGCAATATCCTCCACGGTGGAGGATGACCTTGGCTTGAAATGAAGTCTCCTCTTTTCTAACTCTTATAGCACTTTATACCTCTCTAGATATTTCCCCAACTAAATGGTAAGAAGCTCCGTGAGGACAAGAATCATCTTATTCATCTTTTTTACTACCCCATATAGCCTAACACACCCCAAGTTCCTACTTTATAGTCAAGGTAGCAAATGCAGTGATACATACCTCCCCTAATTAGGTCACATTTTAGGGGCCAAGAAGCTTTTCCAGATTTCCAAGTACAATCAAAATATTGAATGTATTAGCCAGATCTCAAGGACAATTCACTTTCATCTTTAGAGACCAGCACATAGAATATGTCAAAGAATAACTTCTGTCCTCATAAAGATCTCTAAAAAATATTTTATGTTCCCTTCATCCCTTTGAGCTAAACTTACTTACAAAATTCTCAGGATTCTCTTAAGATTTTAATGCAATTAAAACCCTACCATGGCACTATTCAGTCCTGTGCGGTTACATACTTTCCTTTTATACCCTCAAAGATGCCTCTTCTGTGCATTCTCTCAATTACAATGAATTTTTTATCCTTCGTTGTCCTCTCCTATTCTCATTCCATTCTCTTCTTTCCCCTCTTGAAGTGATAGGAAGAAAAAAAAAATCAACTGAAACAACATTTTGAAGAGAGGAGCTGTATATAATCAAATCCCTCATACCTCATCCACAATCACCTCAAAATACTTGTAACAGTTAATAAAATAAACACAAGGGCAGTATCTACAAAATGCTTCTTTAGGTGGCTAGAGATTAACTCGTTCCCCCGACTTCCCCCATTTATTCTTCTCTGGGTACAAGTAATTAGGAAGCAATTTTTAAAAATTATATACAGTACCTGTCATCCAGCTCAATTCTTTTCATACTATGGAGGTGCAAAACAGCTAATATTATTGCTACCAGAAATATTACTGCACAGCAAACCCCTACACTGATATAAAACACACGAGTAGAAGTGGTAGGAGCTGCATTTACAGGATCATCTGAAATTTTAAAAAAAAAGTTGTTTTTTTTATCAGTATAATGTATATGTGAGTTCTTTTAAAATACATTTTTAACAAATAAAAAAATTTCACATTAGTCGAAGTTTATAGTAAATCAGTTACTAGTATAAATCAGTTACTAGTAAAAAGTCATACAAACAATATATGGTGGTAAAGAAAAGCATTTATTCTTTGAAAAATATTTTTAATAGGAATTCTGGTAGAAAAATAAAAATCATTCACCCAACTTTGGAGAAACAGCCAGTGTTGAAGAGGCTGTGAGAAAATAAGCCTGCCAATACAGTGTTAATGAATTGTTAATTCTAGAAAATAATTTGGAATTGTGCAAGAAAATTTACTAAAATTATTCATACCCTTTAATGCAACAATTCCACCATTAAACATGTATTGTAAAGAGTTCAAAGACACAGAGAAAAAAAAAGTCCCATATATGCCAAAATATCATAGCAGCACTTTTGAGACAGGAAAAACTGGAAACCAAAGTAGGTATAGGTACCTATCAACTGGACAATGATTGCAAAAACTGTGATATATGAATGTAATGAAACATCATAGCATCATAAAAGAATTACAAATATAAGGAATCAGGAGAAACAGGGGAAGACTAATATGAACTAAAGCAGAATAAAGTGAACAGAACCAGAAGGACAAATACAATGACACAACACAAATCAGCAACCAAACAGATTAAAGTAACTAATCTTCATCCCAGTTAACACAGTATGATTCTCTTTCACAATCTTGGTGACTGCTGTTGCGAATCTTCTCTCCCCTCAAGACTCCCATACTACCTCTTCATTCCTCTCAGCAGAGAACCTACTCTCCAATGCCTAATTTACTGAGAAAACATGAGCTATCCATTTTGTGTATCTTCTGATTTATATTCTAAACTTCAAACCCTATCTTCATCCATCCTCCATTCTGTCCTCATTTATACCAATCTCTGACAGAGTTTGCTCTCCCCCTTGCCAAGGCCAGCCACATTAGTTTAAAAAAAATGGTGTCATATAATGACTGCCTTTTATCGTCATTGCTAATTTGATAAATGATTTTTATATTCACCTTGTAAAAATATTTTTTCAAAGAGTAAATTCTATCCTTTCTCATAAGTATTTTTATAAATACAGGACGCCACCTCACTTTGTTTCTAATGGAAACTTGTACCTAACATCCCCTTTGTCCCTCTCATCTGCAACCTTTACTTATTCTTATTTCCTTATTCCTTCTCTGATGCTTACAAACATGCCCAAATCTCCCCCTTCCTGAAAAAAATCTTCACTTGACACTTCAAGTTGTATCTTTCCTCTTTTCACAGACTCCTAGAAAAAGCTGTCTACATACTTGTCTTCATTTTCTTCCCTATTGCTTACTTTTCAACTCTAGCAATATGATTTCTTATTACACCACTCCACTGAAATTGTTTTGTCCAAAGTTACCAACAATCATTTAATTGCTAAATCCGACGGAGTTTTCCCAAACTTCTCTGAAAATATTAATACTGACCATTCTCTCCTCCTGAATATTCTCTCCTCCCTCAGCTTTCACAACAATGTTTTTTTCCCTGGTTTGCCTCCTACTTTGTCTGGCAATTCTTCAAATGTCTTTGCTGGATCAATATCCATTTCATATCCTGTAAAAATAATTATTCCCTAAGGCTGTCCTGGACCCACTTCTCTTCTTTCTCTGCATCTTTCTGTCTTTGTGAACTCATCATCTCCCTCTGGTTCAATTATCATTTCTACGTAGATGATTTTTAAATCTATGTAATATCCAGCTTTCACCACTAAATGCTTCCCACATATTTTTATCCGGATTATCTCTCATACAGGCATCTCAAACCCAACATATTAAATTTTTTAAAAAATTTATAATCTTGTCCCCAAACCCTACTCCACTTACTTTAAATTTCCCTGTTTCTGTTGACGGTCCTAGTACTTTTGCAGGTTCACAAGCTCAGTCATTCTCAATTCTTAACTCTTCTTCTCTGCCATATCTACTCAGTTGCCAAGGACTTTCAAATATACCTCCACTACATCTGCTCTATCAGTCCCCTTCTCATGGCCATCACCCCATAGTTCACAAGCTTCTCCCCTGACCACTTAGATAGGTTCCTAATTGATTTCCCTGATTCCACTCTCTTATTTCTCCAACTCAATCTCTTCACTGCTGCCAAAACAGTTTTCCACAAGCACAAGCATCACTGCAGCACCGCCATCCTCCACAATTGATTCTGAGCAGTCCTATAACCTCCCTGGGCCCCATCTTCCTCATTTGTAAAATGAAGGGCTCCGCTAGATGACATCTAAGTTCCCTTCCAGTTACAGATGTATGCTCTCACATCTTAAGTTTCAGAGGCTCCCTACTACCTTTAGGACAAAACAAAAAATCTGGTATTTCAGCTTACCTTTCCAAAAATATTTCACACCCTTCCTTCCATTCCAGTCAAACTGGCTTTCTGGCTATTACCAGAACTCATTAATTCAACTTTTGCCTCTAGGCCTTCACAAAAGAAACTCCTGAAAAGTCCTTTCTTTCTCAACTCTCCCTCTCACAATCCCTGTTTTCTTTCAGGGTTCAAATTCATGTGCTGCCACCTCTGAGAAGGCTGTCCTGATTTCCCTGGTTGTCAGTGTCTCTTCCCTCACATTACCATGCAGTCACCTTGTACAGTACTTACTTATCAGTTTACATGGCATACTCTCTAGTAGAATATAAGCTCCTAAATGGTATGTACTTCATTTTTGCCTTCATATTTCCAGTGCACAGTGTAGGAATTTAATAAATGTTGATTGATTTAATTTCAAACTAAAGACCATATTTAAACCACTGCTCACAGATTCTCAACTCTTGGCTAACATGTGAGGATGGCTAGCTATTTTTCATATCATACTCTAGTTAGATAATTACAATGAAATTTTAAACTAATTTTCTACTTGTGAGACACAACTGTGGATAGGTTTAATTATCATCTCCATGCAGATGACTCACAAATCTATAAATCCAGACCCAGTCTCTCTCCTAAGCTTCAGTACCACATAACGTTTTACCTATTTGTCATTTCAAACTAGATGGTGCATAGACATCTTAAACTCTTGGATACTCTCGTCTCTTAAATTTTTTTGACACTACTCTTTCCGGGTTCTCTTCCTCCGTATCTAATGGTTCTTCATCTCCACTACTGGCTTGTCATCTATATGACTCCTTAACTTAGATTGTTCCTTAAGGTGCTGTCCTAGGCCCTCTTCTCTTCTTGTATCCTCTCTCTTTTGGTAATCTCATTATATCCAACAGGTTTACTCTCATCATTATGCAGAGGAATCAGAGATAACTAGATGTAGACCTAGATATGCTAGTACCTTCAGCAGAAATAAGGAATATGAGAATAGGGGAGAGATTGCAGAGAAAGATGATAAATAAAATCTTGGACATGTTGAGTTTAAGAGATGTTCCTGGAGCATCCGGTATGAAATGTCCAATAGACAATTGGTAATGCATGATTAAAACTCAGGGAAGATATTGGGGTTAGTTGGAAACAGAGAGAAAGATAGCTAGTTGTGGTACGTACATACACATACACAGACATAGAGTACATACATATGTGGACCAAATACATACATCTATGTGTATGTATGTATGTATATATGTGTGTGTATGTATGTATATTTGGATATATCACAACTAGGAGAAACCCCTCTTCCCTAAATAGATAGTATTTAACTACTTTGCATTTATTCTGAATTTATTTCATGTGTTGTCTCCCCTGATATAATGTAAATTCCTTAAAAACAAGAACTGTTTCATTTTTTTGTATTAATATTCAGTGCCTGAAACACTGAAGATTTTTAATAAATGCTTGTTAATTGATTGAGGACCAGGTAGTACTGGTAATCATATTATTAAATATGTACAATATTTATTATACAAAATATCCAGAACATGAATGTCTAGAATATTCAGAATATTTTTGAATGATAAAATATCGAGAATGTGAAATAAATAGCATCAACATTAATTTTGATTTTGATTTGCTTAAGACCAAGGAAGCAATTGAACTGAAACAAATATAAATTATTACCATTTTATATTCCCATATTAATAGTTTTTATAGATATATAGAGGGAACTGGTTATTCATACAAAATCTCCATGCTTTATTTCCCCAAATGATTTTTAAAAACCAGTGATAGTGTACTTACAAATAGTTCTGTTGCCATTTTTGTCAGAAGTTGGAGTTTTGATTTCTTCAAGCTCTGATTGAAAAATGTAATAAAAGATATTTTAGAACTCAAGTTTCTTTCTAGAAAATTCTTAAATACACTAATTTTCTGTTTTGCAACAGAATGTGTTCTTTTAGAACAAAAAAGGAAGGTCTTTGTTATAAGACAGTCAAAACTAAATTAATACTCTGCTTATACTTGTTTTGAATTTAGTAAGTCTTTAAATAGTCAATTATGTCTTCTCACCAAGAAATTGGCCGTGCCACCTAAGAAAAATGCTTAGATAACTGAAATTTGACTAGCTTTAGTGTCATAGATTTTTAGATCTGGAATGGCTCCTTGGAATATTCTAATCCAAGTCACTGATTTTACAGATGAAGAACCTGAGGCCTGGAGAAGTGAGATTGCCCAAACTCAGAGACCTAGTAAATGGTAAAGTTAAAAACAGAACTCAGTGTTACTGCGTTGTATTAGACTGTGTACTGTGTGTGACATTCATTTTTTTTCCCATCCTTATTCCCACTCTCTAGAAATGCTAAGTTGTAATAAAATGAATAATAAAATGAAGGAATTGCTCCAGTATAAGAAACAAGACAAAACAAAGGGTCAAGATAAGCAAAGTGAATTTTAAAATCTCTAATAATCCACTATTGGCAATGAAGCCTAAACTGTGAAAGAAAATATAACTTAATTTTACTCAATTACAAAAATAGCAAGGGGCAGGAATGATTCCCACTGTGGTAAATAAGCATGAAGATACTAGTATGGAAGTGTTATAAGATCTTTATATGCATTATCTCATTTGATCATCTGATCTTCACAATCTAGTGAGATAAGTATTATTATTCCCATTTTACAAATAAGGAAACTAATGATGCTGCAAGAAGTTAAGTGACTTGCCTATGGACACAAAGCTAATAACTGTTTAGGAGAGGATCTGAATCTTCTTGATTCTAACTAACACTTTATTCTCTACATCACACAAAATAAATTTAATAGAATGAATAATGGCTAGATGTATACTGCTACATATGTACTGAATTATTATTGAAATGTTATTTAAGTGTTCTAAGTCAGTACAATAAAATTGTTTTTTTTTAAAAGAAAGGTATCACTATTGAATTTATCCAATTACTTTAAAAATTGTAAATATATTGAATTTGACATCTTTAAGGGAAATGGTTGACTGGAAATACAAGCCCAAGTTAATGTTCACATTAAGGACATATTCCTTTCCACAGCAATTTGGTGCTTAGCTAGTAGTTTAGGTTAATACTGAAATACCTAGCTGAATACTTTACCCTATTCCTGACTCAAGCTATTATCCCTCTATCTTGCAGAACAACCATATGTTGAATCTTTAAGTACAACAATGTCCCCTATATAACCAGAGATGATACTTCTTTGCCACATGTTAACTCCTTTGGTAAGAGATTTTCTGGAAAAAGGAACTGATATTCTTAACTAATATACAATTTAGGGATTATCTCTGGATTTACTTTATAAGTGTTTTCTCATCTGCAAAATATAATCAAATGTTCACTGTAATATCTGTAGAGGAATCACAAAAATCTTATGATTCTTTCTTTGCATAGAAAAAAGTACTCACACCTATGTAAAAAAAATCATTTTCAAAGTTGGTTGCCTTACTTTTATAGCACATTTTCCTTCGTTTGAAATTTAAGACTGTGAAATTTTTTGAAGAATTTATTGTCAGGTTCAGTTGCATTAGTACCATTATCTCAGAATCTACTTTTCCAGTGCAGGAAAGTTCAACGCGAAATACTGTTAAAAAAAACAACACACGCACAAAAAAAAATTGAGTCACACAAATGATTAAAAAAACAATGAAAGTTAAAGGTGTTACTTTAATAATCAGAAAAATGTATCGCAAAATGTCATTATTAAAAGTGAGTAATTTAAAACTGACTAAATAGATTTGAAAATAATTTTGAGCTGCACATATAAAAGCAACACATAAACATAGAGAAATTCATTTTATCAACAAGCATATATTAAACACCTATGAGGCAGGCACTGAGGTCAGAAAGACAATAACAAAATAGTCCTCACCTTCAAGGAGGAGTTCACATTATTTTAACGGGAAGCATCAATTAAAAATCAACATGAATTTATTAAGTGCCTACTATGCTACATGCTGGGGATAAAAATTCAAAGAATAAATTAATCCCTACTATCAAGGAGCTTGTGTGCTAATGGTGAGACCTCATGCACATATATAAATTAATACAGCATGAATATAAAGTGAATAAATATATAAACATAAAGTGAAACAAATACTAAACATAAATATAAAGTGAATAAATATCTACAAAATCATTAAATACAAGGTTGTTTGGGAAGGAAGGAATTAGCAGTTGAAGGAGGGGAAATCAGGAAAGCATTCATAGAGAAGACAGTGCTTGAGCTGCATTTTAAAGGAAGAGAGGAATTCCATGAGGTAGAGGTAAGGAGGGAGGACATTTCAGTTATATGAGACAGCTGTGTGAAAGTCCACAGACCAGAGATAGAGTGTGAGGAGAAGAGAGAAGGCCAATCTGGTTGTAGCATAGAGTGCAAGAGGAGGATTAATGTCCAGAGAGACTGAGAAGACATGTTGGGGCCAAAGTGTGTAAGGCTTTAAAAGCTAAACAGAAGAGTTTATATTTTAGTCTAGAAGCATCAGGAACTACTGGAGTTGATTGAGTAGGGGAGTCATATGATCAGACTAGCACTTGAAGGAAAATTATTTGGCAGCAGTGTGGAAGATGGACTTGAGACAGTCTGGGCAAAAAGTGACAAGGGCCTGAAGTAAGATGGCATTTGTCCTTGTTGAGTGCAGCGAAGAGGTAAGATGAGAGAGAAATTGTAAACATAGAAACAAGTTTTGACTGTTTAGGTGAGATGTGGCAAAGTGAGGAGTCCAGGAAAATATCAAGGTTACAGCACATACAAAGATAGTTGAATATTCAAAGCAAACATAAAATAAATACAAAATAAATGCAAAACATTTTCAGGGGAGGAGGGAGCTAGCAATTAGGGCTTAGAGGAGGAGAGAACAGGACAAATGCAAAATTTTGGGGCTGGTAATGCTATTCAGAAATTGTCATATTCAACACTATCCTGCGTAAAGATGGTAGAATAATTTTTCTTTTTTTGTAGTTGAATAAACTAAGGCTTAGGAAGACTCATAAAAAAAGGATTTATCTGAAGAGCTTTTATCTAATAGCCATTGTATATGCATAGAATAACTTTCATTTACACTTTATGGGAATAGTAGCTTATTCCATAATGTGTTAATTTTAATGTTCCTTTTGAAGTTTGGGAGAAGTAAATGGAACCATAAATTTCTGGATCCAGCTCTGAAATTTCTATGCTACTATTCATTCACTCCTTGGCAATTAAAACATTTTCTTAATTAAATAAAAACAGACATAATACTACTACCTTTGATTAAAAAAAAAAATTTCTCACCTGATAAAGTGCGTGGGACTTCCCCTTGAATGGAAATGTTGACCTGGGGCATGTCCATAGCCACAGGATTGTCTATCTGGAATCCCAGTTTATATTCAACCTAAAAGAGAGACAGAATATAAAAACAGTCTAAGTGATAAAGTATGAGACATTAATACTTCAAATTTATTTTACTTGGGAAATGAATTAATCACTTATTCATGCAAACTAAAACAGCAAAAAAGATAAACCAGTGTTTAAAATTTAACTAAATGAACAATTATTGTATGAAATGTTTATTTTGTTACAATATAATATACAGTAAAACCTCAATTATACAAGACTCAGAAAAATAGCAACTTCAATTATGACACCACAATAAAGAAGCCCCAGAAAAGCAAACACAGAAAAGAACAGCCAAAAAGGATGTGATAGGATTTATTGATTTACTGACAAAACGAAAAGCTCACTGGTTCAGCAAGGCTAGTAAAGACTCAAATTAATGCACTCTCAAAAGTGAAAGGAGGTATGTGGAGTTGGGGTAGGACTCTTGGGAATGAAAGAAGAAAGCATATTAAATAATAAAAAACCAATAAAATATATTTTATTTTAAATATTCTATTTTAAAATAATAATAATAATAATAATAAATATTTTTAAGTTCCTTGCATACAAGGCACTATGCTAAGCATGAACAAGTAGGACAGTCCATAATCTCAAGGAGCTCACATTCTAATGGCAGACATAAAACACATAGGGAAGGTTTTAGCTTCAAGTCAGATGGAAATGCCCCATGATCCTTAGGGGCAGCCCCAAAACAGAGCGTCTCCTTCAATGTCATTTCCATTTCTATTTCTAATGCTGAACCATTTAACAGCATCAAAGACTTTGGTGCCAAGAACTTTCTTTCCTGGGTCTTCAGTAGCTGTGGTTAGCACCTTCTGGAGCAATTGCCGGGCAGTATCTTCCCAGGGACAGCTTCTCAGGATTATGGCTGCAGACATTGGGCTGGAAGCATAACCGTTCCCAAGGCTCTTGGGCTCAGGGTCCTGACACGTCTGCGCTGACAACAAGGGGAGATGTTGTCAGTATGGCAGTAGTTGTGGTCTGATGTGCTTAGCACATGCTGCCCACTGTGTCTGCCTTTGGATGCTGTGCTGCTTCCATTAGGCTGGCTTGCCTGCCCTGTAGGTAGCAGCTGTAGGTTGGCAGTTAGGGATGGCTGGCCCCTTTTCTACAGGAACTGCTTAGTGATTTCTCTCCTCAATGATGGCTGTGGGCAGGAAGTCTGGTGGTTGTGGAGCACTGCTAGTTCCAAAGCTTTTGGGTTCAGGGTTCTGGGATATCTCCATCAGGGTCTGAGGGGAAATGGTGGTTAGGGTGGTAGTGGTGGTTTGATGATTCCTCCTGTGTCTCCTTCAGAGTGCCTTGTTTCTTTAGCTATAATAGCTTGCAATCAACAATATAAATGATGTAGAAGACTGGGTTACATCTATCAAGAAGATCATTGTGGCTGGTTACTGATGATGAAATAGGAACACAGTCTTAAATATTAAAAAATCAATATGCATTAATAATGACTTTGAGGCAGACCTGAGGATAGGGTCCCACAAGAACATATGTCAATTAGTATCAGAAAAAGAGAATGAGAATTCCAGCTATGACAGCTGCCTAAAAGGAAGCAGACAGCCTAGATCGTACATATATACTCCAGCCAAAAAAATATAAAAATGAAATAGACTGAATAATGACCAAGAAAGTCAATGAGAAACTAAGTGACTCCTCTGCCCCAGAACTTCATCAAAAAAAAAAGTTAGCCAGAAACCCACAAGCAATAGGAAAGGGGCTTCCACCAACAAGCCAGCACCAGAAGAGGTAAACATGCTTGTAGCTTTCCAGCATCAAAAAAAAAATAAGAAAAAAGAAAAAAATATAGGCCAGGGGAATGGAACCAAAATGGCGGAGAGAAGCCAGGAAGTTGCCTAAGCTCTCCCCAGTTTCCCTCAGAAACAATGTTAAATCAAGCCTCTAAAAGAATTACGGAGTGACAGAATCCACAAAAACATAGAGTGAAACAATTTTCCAGCCCAAAATAACTTAGAAGGACTTCAGGAAAGATCTTGGCTAAAAGGATAGTGTAGCCCTGCACAGGCAAGGTCCAGACAAGTCAGCAGGAGGCTCTCAACCACACCACAGCAACTAAGGTCCTGTGGTCTGACCTCAGCAGGCCAGTTGTAAGACCTCCAGCCCCAATGTAGCAGGCAAACTGCCAGAACCAAGGACATAACAGTGCAACTAGTCTGGGTCACCTTAGTGCAGTGGGCAAGCCACCAGCCCAAGGCCCCAGTGCAGAAAGCTGTGACCAGAAGCCAGGCCCCCAGTGCAAGAAGCTTGGGACAATGCCCCCTGTACCCCAGGAGCAGAGCTCAACTTTAAAAAAAACAAAAAAGAGCACTAATCATAGAAAGCTACTATGGCGACAGGGAAGACCAAACACAGACTCAGAAGAGGACAACAATGTCAAAATGTCTACATGCAAAGCCTCAAAGGGGAATATAAATTAGTCTCAAGGTCAAAAAGTCCTCTTGGAAGAGCTCAAAAAGGATTTTAAAAATCAAGAAGTAGATGAAAAATTAGGAAAAGAAATGAAAATTATGCAAGAGAATTATGAAAAAAGAGTCAACAGCTTGGAAAAAGAAGCACAAAAATTGATTAAAGAAAACAACTCCTTAAAAAGGTAGAATTAGCCAAATGGGGGAAAACCCACTGAAGAAAATAACTCCTTTAAAAGCAGAATTGGCCAAATGGAAAAAGAGGTACAAAAGCTAACTTAAGAAAATAATTCCTTAAAAATTAGGATTGGGCAAGTGGAAGCCAATGACTCTATGAGACATCAAGAATCAGTTAAACAAAGTCAAAAGAATGAAAAAAATAGAAGAAAATGTAAACTACCTCATTGGAAAAAACAACTGACCTGGAAAAGGGATCCTGAAGAGATAATTTAAGAATTACTGGACTACCAGAAAGCCATGATCAAAAGAAGAGCCTGGACAGCATCTTTCAAGAAATTATGAAAGAAAATTACCCTGATATCCTAGAACCAGAGGGTAAAATAGTCACTGAAAGAATCTACCAATCACCTCCTGAGATTCCAAAATCTACCAATCACCTCCTGAGATTCCAAAATGAAAACTACAAGGAATACTGTAGCCAAATTCCAGAAAAATACTGCAAGTAGCCAGAAAGAAACAATTCAAATAACAAGGAGCCACAGTCAGGATTACACAGGGCTTAGCAGCTTCTACATTAAAGCATCATGGAATATGATATTCTGGAAGGCAAAGGAGCTTGGATTACAACAAAGCTGAACATAATCTTTCAGAGGAAAAGATAAATGAAATAGAGGACTTTCAAAATTTCCTGATGAAAAAACCAGAATTGAAAAGAAAATCTCATCTTTAAATACAAGCCTCAATAAGCATAAAAAGGTAAAGACAGGAAAGAAAAAAAAACCATTGTATTAAATAAGATTAAACTGTTTACATCCTTACGTGGGAAAATGATACTTGCAGCTCTTGAGAACTGTATCTCTATTAGGGCAGTTAGGAGCACACTTAGACCAGAGGGTGTGGGTACAAGTTGACTTTGATGTGATGATTAAAAAATTAATTAAGGGGTGAAAAAAGGATTGTTCTGGGAGAAGAGGAAAGGGGGAGGCAGAACGGGGTCACATGAAGAGGCATTAAAGACCTTTTACAGTAGAGGGAAAGAAGGGAGAGGGTGAGCATAATTTGAACCTTACTTTCACTGGATTTGGCTCAAAGAGGGAATAACATGCACACTCAATTGAGTAAAGAAATCTATCTCACCCTATAGAGAAGTAGAAGATGAAGGAGAAAAGAAAAAGGGAGGGGCTGATAGAAAGGAGGGTAGATTGAGGGAGGCAGTGGTCAAAAGCAAAACATTAGTGAGGAAAGGCAGGGTGAAAGGAGAGAGAGAGAAAAGTATAAGGGGAAAGTAGGATGGAGGGAAACACACAGCTAGTGATCATAATTGTGAATGTGAATGGGATAAAATCTCTCATAAAACAGAGATGGATAGCAGAGTAGATTAAAAACCAGAATCCTACAATATGTTGTTTACAAGAAGCAGAGAGGCACACAGAATAAAAGTAAAAGGCTGGAGTGGAATATTTATGCTTCAGCTGAAGTAAAAAAAAAAAAAAAAAGCCTGGGTAACAATGCTGATCTCAGACAAAGCAAAAGCAAAAATAGATCTAATTAAAAGAGGCAAGGAAGTAAACTACATCTTGCTAAAAAAGGTATTATAGACAATTAAATAATATCAATCCTAAACATATATACACAAAGTGGTATAACATACAAATTCTTAGAGGAGAAGTTAAGTGAGTTACAGGAAGATATAGAGAGCAAAATTATACCAGTGGGCAACTTCAGCCTCCCCCTCTCAGAACTAGATAAATCTAACCACAAAATAAGCAAGAAAGGATATGAAATGAATTTTAGAAAACTTAGATATGATAGACCTCTGGAGGGAAGTGAATAGGGATAGAAAGGAATATACATTTTTCTCAGTGGTACATGACACCCACACAAAAACTGACCATGTGTTAGGGCATTAAAAACCTCACGATCAAATGCAGAAAGGTAGAAATATTAAACGCATCCTTTTCAGACCATGATGTGATAAAAATTACATGTAATAAAGGGCCATGGAAAGACAGATTAAAAATTAACTGAGAACTAAATAATCTAATTCTAAAGAATGAGAGGGTCAAACAACAAATCATAGAAACAATCAATAATTTCATCAGAGTGACAATAATGAGACAACATACTTAAGGGATATAGCCAAAGTAGTTCTTAGGGGAAATTTTATATCTCTAAATGCTTACATGAATAAAATAGAGAAAGATCAATGAATTGGGTATGCCATTTAAAAAGCTAGAAAAAGAACAAATTAAAAATCCCCAAACACCAAATTAGGAATTCTGAAACTCAAAGAAGAGATTAATAAAATTGAAGATAAGAAAACTATTGAGCTAATAAATAAAACTAAGAGCTGATTTCATGAAAAAAATAGATAAACTTTTGGTTAATT